ACTTATCTGTTTGAAAAGGCAGCTGCGCTGCTCATGATACCGCGCGCGTCTAATGGCTTCTCATGAATGAATTCCTTGAAAATAACCTAAAGCGCAATGGTCTTGGCAACTCAGCAACCGTTCTCCAGGGAACTCTACTCCCATCGCAACTAATAACGTCATAAGCCGTCTACCGAAAGTGCTTATTCCTGGAAGATTGCACTTGACTACCATGAACGTTCGTTATTACCTCATTGTACTAACCTAAACAATCCTGAAGTCCAAGAGAGGGTCTCGAGTTCAGTTCCCTTGTTTNTATGGATAGAGCAAGGTACTTGTTGCGGTAGCAGATTTTGCTGAAGCTAAAGTTGTTGACGTCTCCCTTATTCGCACCGTATGAGCGTTTTTCTCATCTATTGTTTTCGGTGTTACCGCTCGTACACTTCATACATGACAAAAAGGAAAGAGATTCTAGAAGGACCATCATCTGTATTTTCAGTCGATTTTGAGTTCAAGCCCTTTGGTATATCTGGAACATGGTCAGATTGCAGCTCAATAGTAGTAAATATTCACAATACATCGACGCTCCAAATATAGAAATTTCGCATGATTAGATCCAGTAGGAAAGGAGTTACGACTGAAAAGTACGGCTGAAGAATCATTTCACCGAAGACTTTTGAGCGCTACTGTACATATCTAACACGCCACTACGATTCTGAATGGAAGTCGTACGCTGGTGCGCATCCCACAGACGGGATTGATTAAAGTCCAATGTCTTCACCTTGATCTTTCAATATCAGGAGGGTGAATAAGAAAGATATCTATAATAGAATCAAAGGAAAATCAAAGGAATCGAGTCACCTAGCATTTTGGTAAGCTTTTCGAAATTCACGGTATCTCTTCTAACATTCTGTAAACACTGAACCGAAGGGAGATGTAAAAGGTGGTGTGCGAACTCATGATAGCTAATAGGATAATATGTCTTATAATTCCAAGAATGATTGAATTTCAAAGGCACAATTCACGATTATTTTGCGGTACCCTGTTCAAGGCGAAAAGCGGAAGTATGAAGTATGGAAGGTGGCTGTGAAGGAAGCGAGAAAGTTCGCCGATTTTGCGAGAAATAATGCTCCTCAAATGTTGTGATTATACGAGATTACCATGATCAAAATGACATGGAGGGGATACTCGGACGAGTTCCAGTTGTTGGAATTTCAGTTGTTGCCCAAGAAACTGACTACATCAAGTCAAAACTGTCCAGAAAGACCTTTCGATGTCGATATGGGCCATGTCAAGTTGTTTGGACTTCCTACATGGGTTCCCTTGTGAACGGTGCAGCCTCTACAATGCCATGGGACTCCTCCTGGCACGGGGCAATCTTTGAGCCTTTCTACCGCCCTACCTAGGTTTTCCGACGTGACAGCGGCACGTATGGTAAAGTTGGAGGCCACAGGTTCATCCTAGTAGGATATCTCAGAAACAATTTTTACCCTGAATTGTGCCTTTGAAGTGAAGTGCTGTCAAATAGGCGCGGATGCCAAGAAAAGGTTGAAAGTAAATAAGGAATTGGTTTCTGATAGGAACGTTCCACAGTGAATGAACCAGGACTACTAGTCAAAAAATGAATAGTAAAGGTCTCAGATAAATTTTGGAGCAGTAAATTCGAAAAAAACAGAGAGTAGAAGCAAATCAGAAAAAAACGACTTCAAGTACTTCATGCTGTCCCTCATGCCCAAAAAAAGTTCTACTGCCAATGCGATTGACATGATTTACAAAATACTTACATAGCGGCGCTGTTGCCTAGCTGGTTTATGAAATCCTCGCCCGGTGTTCCCATTTCGTTGACGATTTTTGACCATTGATCCACCCTGAATTGAAGAAAATGATCCTCGAATCTAACAGTCAGTCAGCTACCGCCAAGAGTTTTGATGAAAAGCCCACCTGTCCAGACCGGGGAATAGAACGCGGTGGTTAATCATTTCCGCAAATATGCATCCAACAGACCATATATCTACTGAAAGTATTGTATTTATAAGTACAGTAGGTNTGGGAGGGGAACGCCCATCTCAGGAAGCTTACCTTTCTCCGAATACGGTAAGCCTAGAATGACTTCTGGTGCACGATAGTAACGAGTTACTACGTAGTCACTCATCCGCATCGCTGTATCGATAGTCTTCTTCCTAGCGAGCCCGAAATCAAGGACTTTGAGCACGCATTTATCGTTAACGACGATGTTCGAGGGCTTCAGATCCTATAAAGTCTTTGAGAACACCTGAAAGAGAGCAGAAGGAAGAAGGGCTTTGGGGACTCACTCTGTGAATAACACCCGAATTGTGGAGATGTTTGATAGCGCATAACATTTGATAGACGAAAAACGACAACGTACGATGATCCAATCTGAATGAAGGTTATTGTATACATTTGTAGACGAAATAAATGTTTATAAAGAAATTCAAGAAGACCGGAAGACATGTTTGGAACAAAGCTCCACACTGCTCGGCGCATCTCCTTCGGTACGAACACTATCTACTTCACGTTTCAGCGGAATATCTTCACAATTGAATTCTCTAAAGATTTTCGAAAACAAATTCATAAAATGAACTCGGTCATAAGTTCCTCAAACAGAAGAGATGTTTCCTGTCAGATTCCTTTTTCAAAAAGCTGTCATGATTCACCAATTGAATGCTAAATCAACGTCTCCGATTATGGTGTCAGTGCCAGTCGATATTGATCGGACCTTTGCAACGAACACACACGAAGTTTGGAAAGCAAAAAAGGGATAGGAGAGAAAAAACAAAAAAAAATAGATGACTAGAGACCAACCGTAATTTGCTGATTACTTCGTGGAGATTGTGACTCATCAACTCCATTACCAAGTATACTTCACGAAATCGACTCAGTTCAGTTTGGGGAGTGAATGCACTTAAGAGCCGGATTATCTGAAACCAAATCAGTTGGAGTACCCATTGAGATAATCAGGTTAAATCAAGCACTTTGGGATCTGTTCTCGACTTCTCAAGGTATTGTTTACTACATTATTCAATGCCAAAACCTGAAGAAGTCATAAAAACGGTGATGGATAAAGTCTCCTGGTTTTGAACAATTCCGTTTCTGAGATGCGCCCCGCATTCGACTTCAATTCAGAATCGTAGTGGCGTTTTGAAAGCGTATGCGGCCTATACAATGATTTGTGATGTCTACGTCATGTAGAGACATGCTTTCGCCCACCCAGAAAGTCTGGTACCAATCACCGACCCCGGAGTGAAAGCAGATGGTTTTTGCGGGTGATTCCTGAAAGGAATTTGAGGGAAGATTTCTCGAGCTTTTTTGCTTTATTCACTAAAAAACATGACTATTTTTTTGTTTCATATCAAGAATTATGAGACTAAGCAGATGCAGCCATCTTCCAGGCAACCGGCCTATCCATTGAATGGTTCTGGAGAGATGAAATGCTCGATCGAACGAGACCGGACCCACTCTACGCGAAAGAAAGCAAAGCCTCTCATCGCTCCCGCTCTATCGTCGATGCAAATGAAAGGAATCCGTTAACACTCAATTTTGGAAGTGCATGAGTGGCGGGTAGCTTTCAGCTTAAATATCGGGTAGCTTTCAGCTTCCCTCTCTCTTACTGGAATGGGACTTTTATATTCTTCGGAAACAGCTTACATGGGCTAGGATTGAAAGACTACTCTTTCCGCGAACAGGATCAAATATAAAGGACTACAGCGTATTAGGAACTTGGAGTTTTGTAAAATGAGAATATTTGTCCCCTTCGCGTGCAGATTTCGCGCCTGCCTCTCGTCTTCCCGTACAGAAGGGTGAGTAAGTGTAAGGCTGATATGGAAATTGATTACGCCTCGCTATCATAAAAAATAAGACATCTCCATGCATGAGTCATACGAGCCCCTTCAGTGTTGGTACGATCACTTTACGATCAAGTAGAATAGTGAAGGTGGGAGAGGAGCAGAACGAGCGGCGGGGGTAATTATGATTAAGTGTTCATGGAATTCATATACAATTTCAGAGACTCACCTATTTCAAAACCTTTTCATAGACAAGTTGATTTTTTCTAAGTTTAATGCAGGGTGCTAGATTATGAGACTATATGTATGTGAGAATACGAGAATACTGGGAATTTTTGGATTGTCTGCACAGAATTCGGAGAGACAACTGAGAAGCATAGATCTTTATGGCATAACCATTTTCTAGAACTTGTGTATGGGACTCGCTATGATCAAAGCGTTCAATGACGGTAATTAAGCCTGAACAAGGGACTCACGTTCGGGTGCTTGATGGTGGTTAGTAGGATGAACTCGCGGTAAGCTCTTCGAGCACTCATCGTCATCACAAACGGTTGTTGCATCTTTTTGATGGCGACTTTTGTCCCAGTTACCGTGTCATCAGCAGATCTGCAATCAGCCCGTTCGATGGGAGTTATTACTTGAAAAATGCTTGAAATGCGGACTTACACAACTGTTCCTTGAGCACCAGCATTTAAAAACCTGAGATTCACGTAGCGTTTGGGAATGGTGAACGAGGAAGAAGAACGTGAGTGTGGATCCTTGGAATAGAGGTTTTGTGGAGAACGAAAATAAATGAAGCGAGGTTTCAACGGACTTACTTGCACAAGAATCTGATGGAACTTTGTTGTGTCATAGTCGCATTCAGAGGGAATATTGCCGTTACACTGATCCACATCCATTGAACCCCTGTAGAAGAAAAAATCCGCTGAAAGCTATCATCAGGAATTGAGTATCATGATGTCAAACAAACTCGAGGATTTAAAGCGATAGAGAGAGAGCGCTTAAGCAATAATATGACTTATTTAGGCTGCCGGTACCACCACTTACAAGCAATATGATCACAATGTTATCACAGTAGCAGTACAAAAATATGTAGAATTAGGGACTTATCATTAGGGGCGGTCCTGAGGATGAGGACAAGATGTAGGTTTCGATATCATAGGCGCTATTTGGATTGAAGGAGATCGCACGAGTGAAGCAAATCGGAAGCTGTAAGTTGATGAAAAGTATTCTTGAGGAAAGTGAAATGGAGGAGTTTGAGAAAAATCTTCCTTAGGCTACATCAGGTTTTTGAGGGAAATTCCGCAGGGTGTGCGAAAAGGCACTGCAATAGCACACTTTGGAAGCCATTCAAGCTTTGACCACAATTAATTCCACATATGTGAGCTCAGCCGTGTACAAACATAGATATGAGAATTTAGACTAGTTATCAGGGAACATTAAAGAACAGGCAAAATGAGGTCGATGAGCAGGGCCGTAGGAAGACGCGCGAGAGGGAGATGTGCGGATTGAGAAGCGCAGTCATAATCTAATTAGTGTCCCTCACTAAAAAATCGAAAAGATGGGCATAGGGCAGCTCCATTACAGCTCCCTTCGTACCCCCACATCTCCTTCTTCGATTGTGTCCTTTTCGGTCTCCTTTCCTCGCGCCACGTTCAGCTTGACGTCGAATTGTGAAAGACCAGACGAAACGAAACAAGATTCCCTCGAGCAAATCGTCGCATTGAGGAGAACCGTTCCAGCTTCTTCTATATCACAGTAGAGAACAACGATTGAGAGCGTTCAAGAAGTCAACGAAATGTCCATGTACTACTAAGTTGGTCGGAAATCTGAGCTGTTTTCACATTTTTTATTACTTCATTTTCTTTATTCGGCACACTAGTGAATTTACCCAGCCATATAATGAGTTATGACTTAAATTGACTGGTATCCCTCTTATTAGGTATGTCAGCAAGTTTCTTTTCCCAGAACTACGGAGATGGCAGACCAATGATTCCAATTCAGAAGCAAAATATCTGGAACGATCGAAAAAAATCAAAAAATCGGAAATGAAACATTATCACCACCTGGTGGGTAAGAATTACCGAATCATCGGAATCTCACAAAAAACTGGCATGAATACAGTATCCTAACAGAATTCAGTTTAAAAGGCCCCTTGAACTTGACTGGTATTCAGTCGGTACGGCGCCAGTGTAAAAGGATATTAAAACAAAAGAGCTCGTGATGCGGATAGTCTTTCTTCACTGCAGAGCGCTGAAGAACAGTTCCGAAACCGACTAGGAAACATCAGATTCTGCTGCTCTCCTGTTTATCGCTCTTTTTTCGAACTATGCTAGCTGTTAGACTGGTTTTTCTTCAAAAGAGTAAATATGCATATATTTTTGTTGAAAATAAACAATGAACAATAATCGAAAATAACCATATTTGAATGAAACTCAAAGTCTTTGCTAGAATGTAATAATGGCCTCTTCGAAACCAATTTAAGCGAGTAAAATACTTATACTGTTTGGATGTCATTCCTTTTAGGGAAACGAATGGGATAGTCTTATCGTCATTCAAGCGCAATAAACAAACGAATAAAAATATAGAAATAAGTCATTAGACACTAATCGAAGAGGTCCTGATCACTTTATTGTCAAATAAGTAGAAAATTAGAAAGAAATTGAATTAGAAAAAAAATTCCATGGAAAATGGAAATTGCAAAATATCGTAGAAATCTAAAAGTATAGAAATAAACAGCTACGCTAAGCTGTTAGGAGAACTCGCTATGAAAGTGAACGTGATAGAAAAACAGCGAACAGTTGTATTTCCTTTCTTCACAGTCTGTTTTCGGACAGTTTATCACCAAAAAGGGTTCAGTTGGTAGAAACTGTGCGAAGGAACACCCAAGAAGCCACATCGACTCTGGGGATTCGACCTGAACAAAACCAAACAGACAGCTTCAGTCTTTTCGAGAGTCCCTTTATAGGCCATGAATTTATTAAAATGAATATACTTGAAAGCAAATGAAAGGAAAGTCGACAGCCTGTTTTTTTTTGCGTTACAAATATTCCCAAATAACACTTCTTCCGTTATATAGCGCACTAGGTGTAGTGGCAAGCGGCACACTAACTCACCTAGGCCAATCGAGCTACCTCCCTTTCCCCTGGAGTAGCTTAATTGGAAACATATTTCTCTGGAAGGATAAAAAGTTGAATTGTACATGGGTTGGCCACCGCAAGCCATGTATGGGCCAAATACGAATTCAATATGCCATTACAATTCTGAATGTAAATCTAATGCGGGGGCGCATCCCAACATCAGCTTGAATAATGCTTAACTTCAATTTTTCCTCTTTTCAACAGTGAGCTTCGACAGGAGGTAATAAAGTAAAATCCAGCCGGTTACAGGTCAGCTCATCGCTTCTGTTTTACTTCCCTTTGAATCCTAGGCGATTCCACCGTAACGTAAGCCGTGTATCAAGTATTGTTAACAATCTCGAAGGCTAACACAACCTGCGACGGAGGTAATAAAGCTTCGTCTGGGAGCAAAAGCGATGGGGCTTTCTTGAAAACTTTCCACAGCTATCTCATGCCACGGCTCTTCGAGCTACAAATCTTATTTTTTGGCACTCCAATGGAGCTCTAGCGGATTTCCAATCTTCATTCTTAAACCATCGTTTGATTGACTGATTTTGCTTGTCACTTATTGTGTTTCATGCTGGGCAACAACACTTGCGCTACACGTAATATATAAACAAACAATCAAATAAACAAAGTCACGTTCGCGTCACGACCATAAGCAGCCAAAGCGAATGATGATCAAAAAAAAGGCGCAATAAAATCAAGGTTTGCGCTATACATAGGAGAAGAACATTGTTAGTTGGGGAACGAAAAATGAAAAGGGTAGTAAATAAGGCGAAGGAGCATATCGATCCTTATAAAGGAGGAATTTAGAAAAATTACAAATGACTTACAGGGTATCAGACCGTCACCATTTCGAGCTTTTTTTGTGCCACCGTTCTGACTCTTCCAAAGTGAGTATTGAATTTTTTGACAGATGAGCCTTTAATTCGTTTCAAAGTGATTGCTTCTACGACAATATCATTCACTTCGCAACTAAATATTACAAAGTTTCTTGGTAAACCCCCTCCTCCCCCCTCCCCCTCCCACTCCTACGGTTTTTTTTTTCAATGATTGAGTCACAATATCGATAATTCAGTTTAGATCAATTTCGTGTTCTGAAAAATGCCTTTTACATCATTGGTTGAAAGGTGGTCCTGTTTTGCGGTTCTGAAAAGAGGTCCAGGCAGAAAAACCCTGGTGATTAGGGTTTTTAAAAAAAGATCACTACACATTATCTTCCAAAAAATCTAATGAAATCCAAAATGAACTGAAGAACTCCCCGGCAGTACAAGAAATCAAAAAGATGCATTCTGCATAACAAAAAAGGTGAAAAGGTGTGGATTGGTGTCTCTTACCGGTCATTTAAATAAAGTGTCAGGCGTTCAGCAAATCAACTTTTTGGACTGTTCGGCAAATTCCACTTTGGGTAATTCGGTGAATCGGTTTGCAATTGGAATTCTGCGTCAGCAGTTGAGTGACACGAATCTGAAGCATCCCCACGGGCGCAGATTGAGGCTCACTTGGCTACTATCTGCAGTGGTAAGAAGGAAATGGAGGCATCGCTAAAACTCTGTTACGAAGGTAAAATGTCGCCTATATCTTCCTTAATATGAACAGATAACGATCACAATTTAACCATTCGATCTTTCTTGCTCTCACACAATGATTCTGTACTACTACTTGCGATGGACGGATGTGGTGTAGTGACAAGTGGCGCGCTATCACACACGCATGATCACGGGTTCGATTCCCAGATTGATATCCACCCGGGCCAACCAAGTCTTCTATCCCTGCGGGTGAATGCAGAGGAAAGGATAGAAGACAAAAGCACTGAGTTGTACATCGGCTGAGCACCGCAAGTCGCTGTATAAGCCACATACGAGTTCAGTACACCCCTACCATTCCGAAAGGAAAAGTCGTACCCATGGGCGCATCCCTCATACGGTAATGATTAACGCCGAAAGACCTCAAGACTTTCAGACTTATTCCTAAATGATAGTTGTCATTCTTCTACCGGTAGTCGTCGGAAAAAGAATTTGTCTGAAATCTGCGCACAAAATGCTTTGACCAAGATGTTGCAGCTGCATCGCATGCAGAATCTGTCTGTCTTGGTCAGCAGCTATACGAGGTGCTTATGGAAGCACGTTGCACTCATCGAGAGAACCTCTTACGAGCAATCTGCCCAGAAATTGTGTACACATAGGAAAAAACAAACCATAGCTGCAGAGGGAATGTATTTAAGCCCAAAACTTTGCTCCAAGCCGACATTTGGATTTCCAATCAATTTTATTTGGATCTATTAGTGACAGAACTCGACGCTGAACTGTATATATTAGGTGTGTGCATTAATTTCCGCCGCCGAATTCCAAGGACCGTTGCGCGAACCATGTTAGAGGTTTACCGGTGAAACCTATCATGTTCTGTAAGGTAGGGTATTGGCTACCTAATTAAGGGCAGACAGATCAGTTTTGCCCCAAAATCCTGTTGCTCTCAGACTGATTGGTCATGGAACGTGATGAGCCGTTTCTCCGGGGGCCCTTCCCCCGCTGTTTGATTTCAAGAAAACTGGCATTGAAGCCCACTGGATGCTTCTAGGAGGACAAGCTTCATCTGAGCGAACCTGCTGAGATAGTTCCTCTTCACCCGAGAGTTTGCATCGAAAGCGGAGTGTCCATTGCCAAAAAGTAATGCTGTGTGTGCATTTGGTGGTGGGATCAAAAGGGTGTTTTGAACTATGAGCTGCTGAGCCCG